TTTTAAAGGGGTGGGGGGGTTTCCCTTTATAGACCCTTTTTGTGAAAATTTTCACTCAAAAATATTGAACACATTCACTTCTTCCATAGTCCTCCCTTAATCTGGTATCCAATCTTTCATTTCCCCATTTTTTGGTATCCACTTCCTCTTGCTCTTTCCTATACTCACTTTTTAATTTCTTATTCATAATCTCCCAAAGAACAATGTCATCAGCAAAAAGCACCTGTGACAACTCCTACTCTGTGTTAGATTCTTTATCCTTTAATCTCACACCTCTTGCCACCACCCGAACATTCACTTTTACAACTTCATCTATAATATATTTAACAACCTTGGTACCATTCACGCATCCTTCTATAAGGAATACTTTTACTGGGACATAATCTCCCTGTTTGTCTCCTACATACCCTACCTGAGCCCACTATCCTCATAAAAAACACTTAGCTTTTTTCAGTAACTTGCAACATCTGCCACATAGATCCCCTATCCACCCTATTCATATGCTTTTTATTCAAATCCATAAGTGCAACGAAAACCTCTCTACCCTTATCTAAATACCGTTCACTTATATGCTTCACTGTAAATACTTGGTCTACACCGCCGTAACTTCCTAAAGTCTCCTGTTTATCTGCGATCCAACTCTCTGTCTTACTCTTAATTCTTTCATTAATAACTCTACCATTACACTTTACCAGGTATACTGAACACTTATTCACCTATAATTTTTGCACTCTCTTTTTGTCCTCTTGCCTTTATACAGAGGACTATGCATGCTCTCCGCCAATCGCATGGAACCTTACCCTCTTCCATACATTTATTAAATAAAAGCATCAACCACTCCAAAACTTTATTCCCACCTGCTTTTAACATTTCTTTTTTTGATCCCATCAATCCAGCTGCCTTACTCCCTTTCATTCTACCCACTGCCTCACGAACTTTCCCCACACTCACAACATGGCTCTTCCTTACTCCTACAAGATATTATTCCTCCTTGCCCTTTACCGAAAAGTACAGCTTCCCTGTCTTCATCAACATTTAAAGTGCAGGCATTGTACTTCCCATTTCCAGAACTCAAGTCCGGCTATATAAAAATAACCGGTTTTCAATCACTTCACTAAATATTACCCTGCTCACACTCCAACAGCTCGTCAGGTCCCAAAAACCATTCGTCTCCATTCACTCCTATCTAACACGCTCACGCACGCTTGCTGGAAGTCCAAGCCCCTCGCCCACAAAACCTCCTTTACCCCCTCCCTTCAACCTTTTCGAGGGACGAGCCCTACCTAACCTTCATGTCATTCTTACTTTGATTCATTGTCTCTAAATGACCAAACCACCTCAACAACCCCTCTTCAGCCCAATGACTAATACTTTTATTAACTCCACACCTCCTACTTTCCACCACTCCGAATTCTCTGTATAATATTTTACACCACACATTGCCCTTAAACAGGACGCTGGCCCATCTTGGGCAAAGCGTTTTTACTTAATCAACTGACTTCATTTCACTGATGTAATTATGCTGTATGAACATGTTCTAGACTCGAGTCATCCTAAGAATAAACGATGTCAGAAGAAGAGATGGTCTAGAGAAGCTACAGCCTGAGTGTTTGCTGCCCGTCTTGTTGTGTAACTCACTTCTGGCTGTCCTCGGAGTGGAATCAAGTGTGATACTTTGACAATATTTGCCTCGTACAAACCAGTAAGACCACCCACATCCCTTTCGTGTTGAAGGCTCTGATGAAATGACAGATCTGTCCAGGGTGGGTCCAGGAGAGAGATGAGTCGTCTTGATCTATTCTCTCTTCTGTCAAGAAGTAGCAGACAGTCCATGAACGTGGAGATACTCAAGATGCAAGAGTTCTTGTGCCTTGTTCGGAATCTTACCACTGTCTACAATCGAGCAGATGCGAGGTTACGTCTAAGTGCTTTAAGCTTCTCTGCTTCTCTGAAAGAGTTAGGAGACAGAAGAAAAAGTAAAAGCAATGGTAAGTAGGACCTTCGACTAGTGAAAATGGTTTGAATGTTAAACCATCAGACAGATGGCCACTATCATCAACGCAGCCGTCGACTAAGTATGAACAAGTGAATATAACATTAACCGTCCTAGGTAGCACAATTTATTTTCAGGGTCTACATTGAAAATGTATTGACGAATTTACAGTAACAGCCTTAATATAATAAAACTCTTGAAATACTGATATTAACAAATCAAGCATGCCGACTGAGATACTTTCAGATACCATGGGTTAGCCAATTACTGTAATATTTACTGAATCATTAAATGAAGATAAGGAGCAAATAGCTGGAAACCATCAAATGTTACCTGAATATAAGAAAAGAGTGACAAGAATATACCCTCAACTATCGTCCCATCAGTTTAACGTCCATTTTAGGGAAGCAATTGGATACTATTGTCAGAGCCATAATAGTAAATTTAATGGAAAATAATAACTTAACTAGATTCAGCAACAAGAGATTATAACTTACTAACTTGCTTGATTTTTTTCAGTAACACGAACATATACAAAAACTGAGATTCAAAAAACTCAACCAAATTTTAAGTATACACATTTCCTAAGAGACTTCAACAAGTAACCTCGTCGAAAACTGATGGCCAAATTAAAAGCGCATAGTATAGTAGACAAAGATATGTCTGAATGAAGAATTAGACACATGTACAACATCTGGGTGTTCTTTATTGTGGACGTCTCGCCATTCTAGCGGCTTTATGAATACAGTCTTGAAGAATCTGAAGACTCTTTAAGACTACGGTACTCTTCACCCTCTCGCAGGCCGAGGGGTGATTATCTCATTTTTGTTATAGTTCTACTGTCTTTAGGCAGTATTGAAAGAGGTAGTATGGAAGAGAGGCGTATGAAAGAGGCGGTATGGGAAAGATGGCAGTATGGAAGAGGAGTATGAAAGAGGTATTGTATAGAAGTGAGGCGTATGAAAGAGGCGGTATGGAAGATGCGTATGAAAAGAGGCAGTATGGAAGAGGCAAGAGTATGAAAGAGGTAGTATGGAAGAGAAGGCAGTATGAAAGAGGCGGTATGGAGACGGCAGTATGGAAGAGCAGAATGGAAGAGGCAGTATGAAAGAGGAGTATGGAAGAGAGGCAGTATGAAAGAGGCAGTATGGAAGAGGCAGTATGAAAGAGGCAGTATGGAAGAGGGCAGTATTGAAAGAGGCGGTTATGGAAGAGAGGCAGTATGAAAGAGGCAGTATGCGAAGGGCAGTATGAAAGAGGCTGTAAGGAAAAGAAGGCAGTATGAAAGAGGGCAATAAAGATCAAAGAGGTTATATACCATGACATGCAACAATAACAAAATTTACCCCGCACTACACCAGACTCCTTGGATCAAGAGCCAGTCGCCAGGATCAAAGTAAAATAATAAAGGAATGGAAAATAATGCTTTCAAATTTTGAGATTAAAAGCAACAAAATGGCAGCTATATACCTGATTACCCACCATCAACTCCTTCAGCTGAATTTTCCAAGCCGATCAGAAGAGTTTTCTCGTGTATCACATGGAAGCAAAATTTTTGAAATGGACATTTTCCATAGGGACACCTCACTTGAAATAGTCCTGTAATTCTGCCTTAGATCAAAGGTCGGAGAGAACTTTGATAAATTACCCCAAATGGAGTCAAAAAGAAAATCTCGGTCGTTAATGAAGACTCAGTAACATATAAATTCTAAGTTATATCTTTTTTAAAACAAATATTTTTTAGTCTAGTGAGTAATTTCGCTCTACACAAATTTGTTTTGGTGTAATACGCAAAAAGAAAAAAAAATTGTGGAAAGAAACGAATAATGTTGTGAATATTTTTTTTCAGTTTTATTCATTTATATTCTATTTCAAATTCTTTGCAATTGTATGAGAGAAAAATGATTTCTATTTTGATTAGAACATCCAGGATAAAAATTGGCTTTTTAAAAGATTACAATATTTTTCAGCCCTTACATATCATTGTGTGGATGGGAAACTATGGGAAACAATATGTGCAATAAATGGCAAAATTGAAATTTCCACAACTCAAAAGTGGAGCTCCAACTTTCGTTCTTAAAGCTCAGCAACAGTGAAAGTTTGAAACAGATATAAAAATTAAGTGTTCACCAGTTTTGGTTGTTTTAAAACGATTCCAGGTTTTTTAATAATTTCAAAAAATATATTAATTCCTGGCTACTCACACTAAACTTTCTAGGTTATTGACCTTCGTGGTTATTAACCTTCTTGGTTATTACCTTCTTGGTTATTAACCTTCTTGGTTATTAACCTTCTGGTTATTAACCTGCTTGGTTATTAACCCTTCTTGGTTATTAAGCTTCTTGGTTATTAACCTTCTTGTTATTTATTAACTTCTTGATTATTAACTTCTTGGTTATTAACCTTCTTGGGTTATTAACTTCTTGGTTATTAACTTCTTGGGTTATTAACCTTCTTGGTTATTAAAACTTCTTGTGTTATTAACCTTCTTGCCGTTATTA